ACCGAACATAAGCTCGCCACCAAGAGACATGACCAACTCTCTCTCATCTCTGCACACGAAGATGAGGAAGGACACCATTTCGATTGGAATAACGTCAGAATACTGGGCCAAGCAAGAACAAAGAAAGAACGCGAGTTCATGGAGGCGTGGTACTCCACTGGTGGGGCAATAAACAGGCACATTGACATTGATCCTGCCTACCAGCCTCTGAGGACAAAGGAAATCCAGAACCACAGAACCCGAGGCCGGACAAGGACTCAAAGAAGAAATCAATAGAACAGCAGGCTACTAAAAATAGGAGGCGCGCCACAAACCAACAGATAAGCCGACCACGACGCAATACAGATCAAGAACGGGCCAATCAGAATCCAGGTTACAGCGCAAAGACTGCTCTCTGTAGACTATATAAACGCAGGCACGAAGAGAGGAACTACCCAACCAACAGCGCACTGAAGATGTCTCCTCGAATGGTGACGAAACGTTTGCAAATCAATTGCCAAGCTCGACGAACAGATCAACAGCCACCTGATCAGTTACCAAACAATACACCCGAGCTACCAATATTCCAACACATTATGGCCAGTCTATTAGAAACATTTTCCGAAATAATGTGTGCTACTTACTGTGTGGGAGTAGTTAAATCTAAACTTGAAATGTTTATAACGACCCAGAGAAACGGTTAAGTGACACAATGGCCAATTCATTTATCTCACTTTTCCTTCCCACCGGTCAACCATCGTATGTGAAGTGTGAGGCACCACAGTTCCCCACAAGAAAATGACCAATGAAAACAGCTCAGCAGCAACAGAATTAACATCGGTTTGCAATCTGGGAAATCCCTTTATGCTGAATCCCATTTTGAATCCACTTTTCTCGTGCAAAAACAGAACAGTCAAGATTTTTGTGATTTAACGTTTATCTAGAGTGGCTTTGGAACCGCGAGTGACGGTTAGACTGCCAACAGGTTATTTCTAGACATATTACCTCCAAGTTTCGATTGCTCAATATTATTTTTTGCTTCGCACATGGTCGCATATTGTCTCGGTCCCGACCACGTTCTTTCAAAGAATCGTCAAAGTGCGAACGGGTAGAATGTCCTCTCGAATTAACTCTTGTTGTGTCAATCGTATTTAGTGGCACAATTTGGACGAGGCAGACTTCTTAGTTGTAAAAGCTTCATCGCATTCTACTGAGACGAACGAGTTGGAAAGGCTTGCCCACATTAGAGCTGGAATTCCTTGAGGCATCTACTAGCACAACTTACGACCTTCCGAAACACTGTTTGGGTTTACAGTATGCGGCTGAAGGTCTCCTGAGTCAAAATGGTAATAGTTAAGCATTAGCATGTATAACTGTTCTATCGCTTTCAATTATGATGGTTTTAATGCATCGTGCTAGTCGGCAACACTGGGAAGTCAGCTAGTGGTTCATGTATCATTTGGTAATGCTCGCGAAGGTTCCGTGAGAAGCCATGTGTTTCTCTTCCCCCAGAGAGTCGACTAAATGTAATTACTTTCAGCTGCCGTATGACAATGGAGTACATGAACAATTACCAAAGCAACTCAATCAACCAGTCTAGCATGGTATCGGCGATTGGCGAGACTTACTGTCTGATTGGTTACTCCCTCTGTTATTAATATTCTATATATTTATTTACATTTTAATATATGCATCTATACTTTACATATTTGTTTCATAGGTTATCATACAATTCCCCTGTAGCATGGGACCGTTTCACCGAGACATGATTTGAAAAAGTTAGAGATGTACAGGCAGTTGTCAATGATGACCGATACCCGTCAGTCTACACCCGCCGAAATTCCTATAAAATATTATGACCGTTTCGGTTAAGATTTGTTTTACCGGTTAATTGAACAGGAGACGAAGTTCACCACCCTGGACTGTTGTATTTTTGTTGCCACCATGGATAGATAGCACTCTTGTGCAGCGATATAAAGATGTCTACGTTATTTGTGTAGCTCGCTTGTATTTCCGACAAATACATCGGCAATAAAATACCCCTCGTATGATGTTACTGGCAATATACAGGTGGCCAATTTGTGCTACATTTTTCTGTGGTCCATCAGACCGACAGTAGAACACAATGAAAGATTAGATGTGTAAAACGTGAGTAAACAAACGAGGGTAGTTGTTCAGTCTAATCAAGAAAG